AAACAGCTATGGACCCCGGCACGGCACAGCCATCCAATTCCATCTCCGAAGAAGACCACAACCTCCTCGCCTGGCTCAAAAGGCGTCGCACCGTCGGAAGATAGAATGTTCCACCTAGAACTAGAATGATTGCCGCTGGAGGATGGCCACATATAGAGGATCCCCGCACTCCCGACGAGCCGCCAAAGCTTCCCTCAAGCAGAATTTCCCATGGCCCGGCCGCAGAGGAAGGATAGCACCAAGCTTGGACGAAGAGGACACACCACTGACGTCGTCGAATGCACCCCAACAGCGCACACCAACCAAACAGCTTCCAAAGGCGGCGCGTTCAAGAAGGAGAACGACGCCGAGAGCGCCGCCGCCCACTGAGGTTAGGGCTTTCACCCGGGAGGCAGAGGAAGGCGGTGGAGGGAGTCAGACCTGACAAACGCCTCCAAGAAGGAAGAACGGTGCCCTCGGGCGCCGCCGCCGTCGCGGCCAGCCATGGCCGGCCATGGATTTCTCCTGGTCTAGCTCCACACCACCACCCCACCCGTAGCAGGAGACCGAAGATCGAAGAAGAACGCCGACCCAGGCCCGGAGGGAAGGGATCGCACCGCATCGAAGAAAGCAGGGGATACCAGATCTAGTGCCGCCGGCTGCCAGGACCGCGCTAGGTCCACGCCCACCAGATCCCCGCCGTCCTCACGGCCAGGGACACCGCCACCACACCCACGCCACCGCTCGTTGCAGAGCCGATGGCGCCATCCGACAGAGGCCGCCGCCCCAGATCCCGTGGCTCCGTGCGAAGAGCAGAGCAGCAGATGCCCCGCCGCCACCTTCCTCGGCGGCGTCCCGGGCTTGCCCAGCGGCGACCTCAGGCGGCGGCGAGAGGGTGGGAGACGGGAAGGGGAGGACTCTGCGGCGATCTAGGGTTCCGCCCCCGAGACGCCCTGGAAGGAGTACTATAGTACTACTCCGGGAGTAGTATCAGCGTTTTCCGAATGTGCAGAACTGTGCAGGCTGCTGTAAGCTGATCTCCGGGGAGTCTACTGGTACTGTACAGATTGCCTTTCTTTTTGGATGCGAGATCGGTATTTGACGAGTGAGAGCTCATCATGTGTCCCGAGTTGCAAAGATCTCTGCTCCTCGGCCACAAAAAATGAAGAGGTAGAGAAGGTCAATAACAATCACAAATGGGTTGAGTCCAGTTTAACCCATCCAAGACACACTTGGAAGAACACTGCAGAAAGCATCCTAGGCTTCTGAGAGCGGCCCCGGGTCGGGTCCAACCAACCACGCTACAGCTCCACAACCAAGCGTCTACAGCCTGGTCCTCCTTTACATTACACACGAGCCCAAAAGTTGAGATCGTCATGTGATCAAAATCGTGCAGTCCTGATCAGATCTCGGATCCAGCCTACGCACACATGGAATCCTAGACAGACCGCTCGAGCCGTGGTCCTAGTCCTACTCCGGCGGATCACGCATCTACGTATATTCGTAGTAATTTTCTTGCCCATTTCCGGTTGTAATTACATTATCCTGCATGCAAGCACACATGTTTTTCGTTTCCTTCCCCAAAGCCAGCCGCGAGGGAAGATCACGAAAATCGCCGCCCGTGAAATGCAGCGATCACCGTGGCACCGTGCATTCATTAGTTGCGCGGACCCAAAAGAAGCGTCGCAGTTAGTAAATGTGAAGCTGTCGGTACAACCGTACATGTCATTTATGATGGGAGATGCAATGATTTAAAGTTGCCGTACCGCACGGCCATCCATCAGTTTAAGGGTATGTACAATAGTGGCATATGAATACATATGCTCCATAATAAAAAATAATTTAAGTTATCTACATTTATTTTTCTTCCGAATGCAAGCTATCATTAGTGGTCTTCATTAAGAAATAGAAAATAAAGACTTTAGTACACATGCATCTCTACTTTCACTTCAATCTTTTCAGCTTTTATCACCAGACCACACTTTTTCTCTTTAAGTACCCGCCTCCTGGAGAGGATCCCGCTTCCCTATCCGAACCTACTTTACATCATATCCGATCCTACATGTCATGCGAGACATCACCTTAAGGATATGCATTGTACATGCCCTAATAGCAACAACAACAGACATGGGAGGACGGAGTTGTGGGTCAAACGACAGGTCTGATTACCTGTCCTGGAAGCGAAAAATATGACCGTTCAGAAACATCCAGTAATCACTCAAGCGGCATAATATTGTACTCCCTTCGTTCACAAATACTTCCTCCGTCCCATAATATCAAAACATTTTTGGTACTGCACTAGTGTCAAAAACGTTCTTATATTATGGGACGGAGGGAGTAAGCGAGTAGTACCGAGTAGGGCGTTTTGGAGCTCGGCTTCCATGGAGGCTGGATTTTTTGAAAAATTCAAAAATTGCACTTTTCAATTTCAAAAAAATCTGAAAAAAATCATACAAGTAAATAAGGATGTTATGCATATGTATGTAAAATTTGAGGATGAAATACCCTGAAATACGATCTGTGTAAAAAAGACAAATTCATGGACTTTGAAGATGAATAGTGCATCTACTAAAAAGCCTCAGATTTATTCTTTTTGTGTAGCACTCATTTTAAGGTGTTTCGTCCTAAAAATTTACACACATATACTTTATTTCTCTAAGTATGTGTGTAATTTTTTTAATTTTTTTTTAAAACGTGAATGTTTGAATTTTGACCAAGTCAAACTCGGGCTCCATGTAGCCCGAGCTCTAAAGAGCATTTTCAAGTAGTACCCCGTTAGGTAGAAGCAGCTCGACCCACCGTGATTATCACAATTCATGTTATGGGTCTTCGTAAGGAGGTAATACCCTATTTCTGTGATGGTTTTCTTGCTCTTGCACATAGGTCTAGGCCTTTTTGGAGAGGTAACACGCACAAGAAATAATACATGTTCAACCCTAAGCCCCGTGCGCTCCTCCCGACTTGTGGCAACGTTTAATGATCGTAGTGATCTTGGATGTCTCTTGGTACAGCCCACGGTAAGGCCAACTCCACCGTGCGACCTTAAACAAATGTTCGTTTTGTTCGGATTCTGTTCGTTTGGGTAGGGCAATGGGATCGTGTCCGTGTCTGTCCTGGGATGCGGTGGCCGTGCACTCAGCGTGCGGACGCATTCCGGCCGCATCCTGTCCGCGTACATTTTTCTTTGCAAGTCCTTAACTTTTTTTCATCATTCATTTTCAGTAAATAAAAAATACATTATCATATTTTAACTAGTAAAGCAAGACCAAAGAAAATAAAAACAACAAGAATACATTTTAGAAGATACCCAACTTCCATAACTGCCCCCTTGAGTTGGGTTAGGGCCTTCTCAATGCACTCACTGTTGATGTGTGGAGGAGGCTCGATCTGGCATCCTCCTTTCTTCTTCAAGCCAGATGTAGATGTTGTTTCCTCACACCTAGTCTTGTGTCTAGCCTCTAATCTAGCAATATGCACTTGTCTCATCTACAGCCTCTATGCTAGCTAAAAGTGCACGAACATGTACTAAATTTTGCTCTATCAATATATCGATGTACTCTTCTTCCCAATACGAAAACTTGCATCCATGCTACACAATAAGATTTGTAGTTAGCACAACTAGTCAAAACTAGAGCACAAACCGAAGCTAAAAAGAGCACATACCCCATTGTTTAAGCACTTGATGAACACCCATCCGGGATGTTCCGACGTTGTAGACACGCGGCGCACGACCATCCTTGGGCAGTGGTCGCACTTAATGAGTGACAACGGTGCGCCGGCGAGCTTTTGGGCAAGCATCGAGCCCGGCCGACCGCCATTCGTGTATCTGCCGGCAGACCACCGACGGTGCAGATCCGAGCGGCTAGAGGAGGAGCCACTGCCTGCATGTGGCCTTGCGGCCCTGCCAGGGCCTTCCGGCGAGGTGCCCGGCCAGTCCATGGCGCGGCCCGGCCTCCCACAGCCGGGCGAGCTCAAGACCGACCGAATCCGCCCCAAATCCGGACGTGGGTGCGCAAACCAGGTGGCCGTGGTTGGGTAGCTCAGCGGCGCCGAGGGAAAGGGGCTGGCGAGCGCGTGTCCGAACTGCAAGGCTGCAATGGCAGCAGCGGCAACGACGGCAGCGAGGGGAAGAGTGGAGGGGGGTGCGGTCGAAGAGAGGGAGGGGACGGATAGAAAAAGACCCGCCCTGTGCCACCGACGGACGGGCCAGGAGAGGACACACGCAGACGGCCCGCGCGTCCGCGTGGTGTCCGTTTCACCCCAAAAGCGACGCAAATTTGGACCGCGAATGGGTTGAAAGCGGACACAAAATAGACAAAAGTCTGTTTGCTCCCTCACACTGGGCCGCCTCGTTTGTCTGTTTTACCCCAAACAAACGGGGACGGACAAAATAGGGTCGCGCGGTGGAGTTGGCGTAAGACATTTGTCTGCTATACCAGCCTGGGAGGGCGACCGGCTGACGGTCCTTGCTCTATTGGAGGGATGGAATCCGACTTAAGACACTTAGTCCACCAGCGAACGGTTGCTTGAGGGCCTCTTGGGCTGTAATCTTGACGGACCTGGGCCTGGGCCTTTGACTGGGGCGTATACTTGGGCCTACCCGTAGGTATTCCTTCATCTCAAGTATACACTTTTTTTTACGAGAAACTTTCAATCTATTCATCTCAAGTATACATATAAATAGCACTCAAAGCTCAAAAAAAGAAACATAGCACTCAAAAAAAAGTATACATACAACACTTGCCTAAAAAAATGTACATATAACATTGCAATTTGTCTTGAAAAAAAACATATAACATTGCCATTCTATATTTTTCCTATTTCTGGGTTTCGACAGCTCAGTGTACCATACTCAGGTGTCGGCCTAGAAAGAGATGCGAGCACTACAAGTCCATAACAACTCAGACCAGAACTGTAAACCGAATGTGGCATCTCCATTGAAGTTTTGAGCAAGTAAAGACTAAAGTTGCCGAACAAATGAGATTTACATGATTTACACGAATCCTTCGTGGTCTATGAATTCATTTCTCCCGGATCAAATTAGTCGGCTCGCTCAGAACGTACTTTGGTAGTTCGTATTTGGCACCTGCAGCAGAGTTTCCCAGCCACTGATTTTGGTTCTGAAAGCACAGGGCGGTGGAGAAGATGCATGCGATACAAGGAAAAATAATAATTTTACCTCTTTCGTCGTAGCAGAGTGTCATGTCAGAATTTGAGACAATGATGCCAGCACTGTCTACTATGGTTTGCGCAAGTGCTAAATCAGCTTCTGCAGCGGCCCGAAGTGCATCCCAGATCTCTGAATGGAAACGGATTGTGGTTTTTAGTTCAAATTAGAATATCACTGCTTCTTCAACTGTTTGGTTGTAAGCAAATTAAGAGCGCATTATCAAAAAACAACAAACATGAATTCCATGCATATGATAAAACAACAGTTCAAGATATGGCTCAGACCAACCCTTCGCTCGACCAAACAAACATAAAATATGCTAAATGTTAAGTAGATATTTAAAGAATTTGCATAGTCCATCCCAACAAAGAACCTGCGGCAATGTCCATAGTACAAGGAAATTTGTATCAATAAAATCTACTCCCCCCGTTCACAAATATAAGATGTTCTACTCCCTCCGATCCATATTAATTGTCCCTAATTTAGTACAAAGTTGTACTAAATCAGTGACAATTAATATGGATCGAAGGGAGCAACTTATTTTTGAATGTATATAGACACGTTTTAGTGCGTTTCTTCGCTCATTTCAGTCCGTATGTAGTTCATATTGAAATATAAAAAGATCTTATATGTAAACGGAGGGAGTACAACACATGCCAACTTCTGTTTGGCAATCCCTTCATATTTGTTTCCTCCTCAAGGACTATAATTTAACGTGCCCAATTTAACATCAACAATGGACTAAACTAGCAAAACAGCAAATCAACACTATAAGTATACATGTACTTCAAAAGTTTAATGTAACAAACTGCATATCTAGTACAGATTTCAGTGACAAATCTGCATACAGACCATTTAAAAAAAACTGCATACAGATTTAGTAAAGTTAGGTCAAAGTTCAAAAAGGAACTGGTCCGGCAAGCAGTATAAATCGCTTGCAGATAAATGTTCACAGTACTACAAAAATTAGAGTTGTACAGTACCTTTCTGTCCACCATAGTGAGGAGTAGTGTCCCAGAATTCTTCGCGCATCTGTTTGAGTTGTGCTGGTGTTATTGACTGAGTGTGCTTCCAAGGCTTTGGTTTTTTCAGCTTCTTACTGCTATCTGAGATCAACAAAAACAAGTTAAGCGTTAGTACTGAATATATCCAAATGCAGTCACAGCAAGTAAGCACTGTGTTTATCTTGAACTGAATCAGGCTCATGTTGTTTTAGACACCACATAAGTATACAAAATAACGGAAGTACACAATTCGGCTTCCAATAACTAATAACAAAGATTTTTAACAAAGCTACTTGTCTACAAGCCCGTTTCATCAGTGGATTTGTTTTTCAGAGGCCTGTTTTATATCAGTTAGTTAACGCCCTTCATTTGCTGAACCGTGAAATACAAATTTCATCTTCACCACCACATCAAGTTTACACCTTGCTGACCAGTTGAAATTAGTGTAACTAATACGAAAGGTTGTCACAATGTCAGTTCATTTAATAACTACTCCCTCCGTTCCTAAATATAAGTCTTTTTAGAGATTCAAATGCGGACTACATACGAAGCAAAATGAGTGAATCTACATTATAAAATATATCTATATACATCCATATGTAGTTCGTATTGAAATCTCTAAAAAGACTTATATTAAGGAACGGAGGGAGTATTAAAGAAAAGTAGTTGGGCAAGCTCAGTATTCGACGAGGAAGTTAAAAGAAACTGCACAAGGAAGAGTGTTTCCTTTTGCTATTGTCATCTCACTCCCATTTAAACATGCTCATGGACTAACACTGATTTTAAGGCCATTTTTCTTACCAAAACAGACATATTTCCTACTACTGAACCCGAAAAAGTAATGTCTTCCTTCCTACACTAAAAAAAAGCGTCATTTCCACAGGTCTTTCGTCGTGTCACATCTTCAATAATGTTGCTAGGTACTCTGTTCTATGGAGGAATAAATCAACAATCCCATCACCGTCCTCGATAATTATTTCTGTCATACTCACAATTGCTTTTTCATAACACACATATCTTCTCTTCACCTAAAATTGTACTGTACCACTGATACGTTGATCATGGTGATATTAACAGCTCCTTTGTTCCAATGATTGTTCAATTTGGCCTTTAGAACTTTGCTAACTGCCAACAGGAGCAGAACGATCACATATGACCAAATATAACATGGGAAATAATAGAGCATTCCATAAGCAGCACTAATTCCCCTCCCTGCTACCCCCAGCTGATTTACCGGAGCGACGCATCATCAATCCAATCTGCTACGCAACCAACAGCAGGCAGGGCTAAATCGACATAACAGTTACAGGCGCCTGGATCAAGAACCTAGGACACTACTCTGATAGTGGTTCTGGGGACCAGATTGCCCAAGATCTCAATCATGAACCCACCTAAGAAAGCATTAACAGAATCGAGATAGACAGGGTAAAAGGAGAGACCGTCAGATTTAGGGGTGGATCCGGCGCAGCCCATGGCGACGGACGATCAGACGGTCATCGGCGACCTCTCTTCGAGAAGCTACTGGAAGCGGAGGTGGCTCACGCGTCTGGGCTCTGGACTGCAGGGTCGATACAAGAGAGGGAGGTGGACTGAAAACCGAAAGCGGAGCAGGAGTGGAGGATGGACGTGTCAGCCTGTCAGGATGTGGCTATGCTAGCCAACAAAAGCAGGTGCGAGTATAGCTGGTACCCATGCGGTGCTGTTCTTTACCGGGGTCTACTTTTGTTTTTCATTTATGAGGGTTGTCACAATTTCATTTAAGGGCTCCTCAAACAATTCAAAAGTCTAAGAAAATTTAACTAATCTAGCGAGCTCGTGATCAAACTTTATTTGCTTCTCTGTTAGTACTCGTACCTAGTAATAATAAAATCACAAGCATAATAAAACAATCATAAAAAATAGCTTTCGCTGCACCCGCCGACCGTCCTCCATCCTTCATGGTATCAATCATGTTCAGATTGTTCGAGTTAATAATAGTCTGAATTTGAAAGACAAGGCTTCAGCGGTCAAGACACCCGCGCAGTAGTCTATCTTCCCATTTCCCCCAACAATAAATTTGCCTCTGTCATCTCTAAGGACAACCTCCATCATGCCCCTGAGCAGGTCATGGTCAAAAGAAGTATCAATGTTAAGTTTCAGAAAAACCACTGGAGGGCAAGACCAGCCCCCCCCCCCTTTCATAGAGGCATTTGGAGAAGAAGCGGTTTATCGGGGTCTACTTGAGTGCACACCTTGGCCAAAATCATTATCTCAACCTTTTAACGAAAGAGGAGGGCAATTGGGCCCCATTTTGTATGTTTAGCCGAATATGATCTTTTTGCTACCGTCATATACATCGGCCATAGGCTACATGGGATATCGCCGGGGATAATGGTGGTAAACCCCGGTTCACGCCCCTCAATCATGCCTATCAGCCAAAGGGCTACCGCCACTAATCTCGGTGGTAGCCTTCTAACCCTACCGCCAGGGCCGATGATGATAGACCCCATAAAGAGTAAGTGGCTAGGGGCCTTGGGTGGGCCACCCACCTACCCTCAATCCGCATTATTCTTCCTTCTCTAACACTTGAGTTGTTGCCCTCCTTAATCTCTCTCCAATCCAAACTCCTCTCAAATCCCTCTCAAATTGGTGCCATTTCCTTGGTGAATCAAAGGCATTTCCATGTATTGAGGTAATATCTCACACCCCCATGATTTGGTTGGTTGAAATCATCTTATTTGGTGGCATTATTCACTTTTGAACAAACCCTAGTTTGGTCATTTCTCTCAAATCCATTCCAAAAATTGTGGATGTAGAGTTGTATGAGTTTTATTATGTGTAGTAGGCATTATGCTTGTGGTTTGTCGCGAGAACTAGGGCTAGGGTTAGTGTATGTGTTAAGTAATTCCATGATCTATTGAATATATTAGTTATGATGTGCTTTGGATATGATGCATTAGTAATGTCATGATCCATATAATACATTAGACTTGCTATTGATGCATTGAGTTTCTTGTCATTGTTTTTTACTTTTTAGACCATGATGCTTCTTAATGTTCATTATTTGTTGGAAGTGACAATTTTGAGTAATAATGTTGGCATTGTTGATGGTGAAGAGAAAGTCATGGTATTTAAGACAAATCCTTGTTATGAGGAGGTTGTGGAAAGAGTAAGAGAATTGGATGGCCCCGAATGATGGAATTGAGCTAATAGGAAGGTGTGATGTTGGTGTGGGGTCGAGATCTCGATTGAAGAATATGCCTATCAACTTAGATTTGCATTGGGAGGTATACCGTGATCTAGTTGTGGACTCGGAAGACAAGTCACTGGATTGTTTGCCACCAAGGTCAAAGGTCCTCGATTTGGGATTGACTTGAACTGTCATGTCTCCTCCCGATGTCATGATATGAGCCTGAGTAGAGGTGTGACACGTATTGAGGATCGGGCGAGGTGTATGGTGATACGTCTCCAACGTATCTATAATTTTTGATTGCTCCATGCTATTATATTATCTATTTTGGATGTCAATGGGCTTTATTTTACACTTTAATATCATTTTTGGGACTAACCTACTAACCGGAGGCCCAACCAAAATTGTTGTTTTTTTGCCTATTTTAGGGTTTTGAAGAAAAGGAATATCAAACGGAATCCAAACGGAATGAAACCTTCGGGAACGTGATTTTCTCAACAAACGTGATCCAGGAGACTTGGAGTGGGCGTCAAGAAACAACGGAGGAAGCCACGAGGCAGGGAGGCGTGCCTACCCCCCTGGGCGCACCCTCCACCCTCGTGGGCCCTCCGTTGCTCCACCGACGTACTTCTTCCTCCTATATATATCCACGTTCCCCCCAAACATCCAGGAGCACCACGAAAACCTAATTCCACCGTCGCAACCTTCTGTACCCGAGAGATCTCATCTTGTGGGCTTTTCCGGAGCTCCGTCGGAGGGGGCATTGATCACGGAGGGCCTCTACATCAACTCCATGGCCTCTCCGGTGATGTGTGAGTAGTTTACTTCAGACCTACGGGTCCATAGTTATTAGCTAGATGGCTTCTTCTCTCTCTTTGGATCTCAATACAATGTTCTCCTCGATCTTCTTGGAGATCTATTCGATGTAATATTCTTTTGCGGTGTGTTTGTCGAGATCCGATGAATTGTGGGTTTATGATCCAGTTTATCTATGAACAATATTTGAATCTCCTCTGAATTCTTTTATGTATGATTGGTTTATCTTTACAAGTCTCTTCGAATTATCAGTTTGGTTTGGCCTACTAGATTGATCTTTCTTGCAACGGAAGAAGTGCTTAGTTTCGGGTTCAATCTTGCGGTGCTCGATCCCAGTGACAGAAAGGGAAACGACACGTATTGTATTGTTGCCATCGAGGATAAAAAGATGGGGTTTATATCATATTGCATGAGTTTATCCCTCTACATCATGTCATCTTCCTTAAAGCATTACTCTGTTCTTATGAACTTAATACTCTAGATGCATGCTGGATAGCGGTCGATGTGTGGAGTAATAGTAGTAGATGCAGAATCGTTTCGGTCTACTTATCGCGGACGTGATGCCTATATACATGATCATACCTAGATATTCTCATAACTATGCTCAATTCTATCAATTGCTCGACAGTAATTCGTTTACCCACCGTAATACTTATGCTCTTGAGAGAAGCCACTAGTGAAACCTATGGCCCCCGGGTCTATCTTCCATCATATTAATCTTCCAATACTTAGTTATTTACTTCGCCGTTTATTTTACTTTGCATCTTTATTTCTCTTTATCATAAAAATACCAAAAAAATTATCTTATCATATCTATCAGATCTCACTCTCGTAAGTGACCGTGAAGGGCTTGACAACCCCTTTATCACGTTGGTTGCAAGGTTCTTATTTGTTTGTGTAGGTGCGTGGGACTTGAGTGTGATCTCCTACTGGATTGATACCTTAGTTCTCAAAAACTGAGGGAAATACTTACGCTACTTTGCTGCATCACCCTTTCCTCTTCAAGGGAAAACCAACATAGTGCTCAAGAGGTAGCAAGAAGGATTTCTGGCGCCGTTGCCGGGGAGGCTCACGCCAAGTCAAGTCAAAATTTTATCTCCCGTCAATGAGCCATTTCTGGAGCCGTTGCCAGGGAGATTCGCGCCAAGTCAAGTCAAGATTTGACTCCCAACAATGAGTCATTTCAGGCGCCATTGCTAAGTCAAGACATACCAAGTACCCATCACAAACTCTTATCCTTTGCATTACATTATTTGCCATTTGCCTCTCGTTTTCCTCTCCCCCACTTCACCCTTGCCGTTTTATTTGCCCTCTCTCCCGTTCCCCTTCTCTTTCCCTATTTGCCTCTTTTTGCCCGTTTCTTGTTTGCTTGTGTGTTGGATTGCTTGCTTGTCACGATGGCTCAATATAATACTAAATTGTGTGACTTTGCCAATACCAACAACAATAATTTTCTTAGCACTCCAATTGCTCCTCTTACCGATGCTAAATCTTGTGAAATTAATGCTTCTTTGTTGAATCTTGTCATGAAAGATCAATTCGCCGGCCTTCCTAGTGAAGATGCCGGTACCCATCTAAACAACTTTGTTGATTTGTGTGATATGCAAAAGAAGAAAGATGTGGATAATGATATTGTTAAATTGAAGCTATTTCCGTTTTCGCTTAGAGATCGTGCTAAAGCTTGGTTTTCGTCTTTGCCTAAAAATAGTATTGATTCATGGAATAAATGCAAAGATGCTTTTATCTCTAAGTATTTTCCTCCCGCTAAGATCATCCCTCTTAGAAACGATATTATGAATTTTAAGCAACTTGATCCTGAACATGTTGCACAATATTGGGAGAGGATGAAATTAATGATACGTAATTGCCCTACACATGGTTTGAATCTTTGGATGATTATACAAAACTTTTATGCCGGATTGAATTTTGCTTCTAGAAATCTTTTAGATTCGGCCGCGGGAGGTACTTTTATGTAAATCACTTTAGGAGAAGCTACTAAACTCCTAGATAATATTATGGTTAATTATTCTCAATGGCACACCGAAAGATCTACTAATAAAAAAGTGCATGCAATTGTAGAGATTAATGTTTTGAGTGGAAAGATGGATGAACTTATGAATTTTTTGCTAATAAGAGTGCTCCTATTGATCCTAATGATATGCATTTGTCTACCTTGATTGAGAATAATAATGAATCTATGTATGTGAATTTTGTTGGTAGGAACATTTTGGTAATAACACGTATAGATGTAATTTTAATTCTAGGCCGTTTCCTAGTAATTCCTCTAATAATTATGGTAATTCCTACAACAATTCCTATGGAAATTATAATAAGATGCCCTCTGATTTTGAATCTAGTATTAAAGAATTTAATACTTCTCAAAAGAGTTTCAATGCTTCGATTGAAGAAAAATTGCTTAAGATTGATGAGTTGGCTAGGAACGTTGATAGGATTTCTCTTGATGTTGATTCTTTAAAACTTAGATCTA